TGTTGTTAATTTCCTCCTGATTTCAGGTCATATTCCTGCTGGAACATGTTTGGCTTTGTTTAGAAGCTCCTAATGGCAAGTTTTTCATGGTAGAAACTGCTGCTATTCTCCATTACTGTCATTCCTCAGCTGCAAGTCCACAGCTAACGTCAGGGAAACATGTAATCTTGGTTATTGATGTTTTCTCCCTGATTCTGGATCATATTTCTGCTGGAACATATCAGGTTGTGTTTAAAAGCTTTAAATGGTGATTGTGCATGTTAAAAGGTGCCAATATACAGTAATCAGTCCTCAAATCTGGTGTGAGTTAACATTTTAGCACTCGTGGTTCCCTCGTCTCAAAGTTAATAGGTTTGTTGAATTGGTTTCTTGTTAGATGCCTGAAGTAAGGTATGTGGAACTTAAACTCTTGAGAGACTTCCATGTTTTGTTCTACGACATTAAAGTACGTCAGTAAATACCACACTCATGAACTTTGAAGCTTCTATGTGTCTTTAAAAAGGTGTTTGCTAGCAGGTGGCTAGATGAGGCCACAGAACGTCATCATGCCGAGCCACGCCGAACATGGCTTCACAAGCCATGTTTCCATTAGCCTGTTTATATGCGCATCTAGAAATATCGCATTGGAAAATTATGATGGAAACGCTAGAATTCGAATTAAAATCTCCTGATTTGCACAAACTAAAATACGCTCGCTTTAACCGGGTTTTGGTTGATTCGGAAAAATGTTGATTCACAAAACGGGGGATGGAAACAGTTTTGTTCAAATTAAGTCTGACGTAGTCGTAGCATACCTCTCTCCATGGTGATATCCACACTCCGGGTTGGGAAGGCGGTAATGCATTTACAAGCTGGTTGCCAACCGCCAGAAAACGTAGAAGAAGAAGAATGCAAGACTTGTTTTGTTTCCGGTTCTGCGGAAAACTCGCGCTGTATGGACTTTTCACCAAAGTCCATACATTTAATGGAAACATACAGGATTCGTATTTCTTTTAATGCACATTTCCCAATGATTCAAATCACTTTTGGATGGAAACATACCTACTGTCTTGTTATGGTGGTGACGTTAGGTCATGCGACTGTAGTAGTTCGTCTATAGCCTAACATTAGCTTTTAATTTCCGATTGCATTTAGGTTTCAGTAATCATGAAAGTGGTGTTAAATTTTGAAGATCTTACTGAACAAAATGTGGAAGTATCGTAAACCTTTGTTTGGCACAGAGCTTATTTTCAACAATAATCCAAAATCCAATGGAATAATCTGATCCTTTTTTTTGTTGAAGGACACAGAGTAATGCTAACTTCCATGTTGGCCTAAAAATTAATGTCATCCCTGGCTAAACCACTTTATTCTCAGCTACAGTCATTACTTGAGTGTAATGGCAGTGCAGAGACTCTGAGATATGGAAGACCCAGAAACGTGGACCAGTCAGAACTGACAGGACTTTTTCGGGAGGGGGGCCTAAACAGACAGCCGCTAAAGGGGAGCGTCTCAGACAGAGGGTGAACACAGGTGTTAAAGCACAGACAGTACGAGGATAGTAAAGTAGTTTTAACTATAAACTTATAAACATGTTCTGGTAGAAACCTTAAATACAAGTATAAATCTGAGAATGAGCACAGTAGGTCCTCTTTAATAGCTTTTATCATATTTTGTTCACATTGAGAACTCAGACAGATCTATTAAGAAGTTTTAAATAAGTGACACAAAGGCTCATAACAATAAAATCAATTCTTTTGTCTTTGTAAAATTACAATTCACCTTTACTTCAAAGTCATTTATGCTTTAGACGGTGATATATCTGAAATAGTGCCAGAGCTTGGAGAATAAAACACACCAAAGTCCCTGCACAGTGCACACACAGAAATGATGACGTGAAAAGAACAGTAGAGATTGTTCAGGAGTCGATTTCTGTCTTGTGTGAAGTCATCTGAGGAGCGATATTGAATCTATGGGGATAAGAGACAAGACTGTGATGTTTCACTAGCAAGACAAGGTAACACACCTCAGCGAGGCCGGGCCTGTTGATGTAATTTAATGCAACATTATACAGAAAAAAAAGGGGTTCAAGCTGACTTTCAAAACTTCACCAGACACTTCCCTTATCGTATTTAGCTGACAAAATGTAGGCTATGGCCTCTGCTTTGTTAAAGTTTCTGTTATATTCTAAGGATTAGATCCGTAGTCCCCAACGGTCTGCTAAAATTTCTGAAACCTTTCTTATAGATATTTCAAATGCTTTTGCTTTTCCATTTATCTCTGTTAAGCTTCAGTTCTGTTTTGTTCTGACACTGCAAAAGGGAACAAAGATAAGACTTAAACTTATTTGGCGAGCTCAGAGGAGTTTTACTCATATTCAGTATGCTAGTCCAAAAAATAGTATCCCTGGTGTGTTCTTATTGAGACTTACTGGTACTGTAAGTCATTGGTGTTGTGACAGTGACGTTATTGTCATAAGTCTTTACTTGAGATGGCTGTTGTACCCCCAAGTAAACAACATACCAATGCTTTGCACAGCTACTTTGTCTTAGAAAATGTATCAGTTCTTATTATACTAAACCTAATTAAACCAAATTACTCAGTTGCTTTAAAATACAGCTGCATATTCTAGTGATTAGCATGTTGAATGAAACCCCACGAGAACATCTAATGCACAAGAGTTTGACCTCGATCCTCTAAATTTGCTTGCAAAGACTTAATTGCCAGTAAATTTGGTTGATTCCAGATTTTGACTAATATAGCTTTAATGAGGGTGTTTTACATAATTTCAGTTGAGTGGGGATACTGTGGTGAGGTCATTCTCTTCATTCGGTTAGCGTAAGAGCAAATTAGAGATGTCATTTTATGTTTTTCTGTCAAAAAAATATATTTTTATTGAATGAGCTGTACTTCCACAGACCAAACATGTGGCTGGAGTGGATGTTTGCATGTATATTCCTCAATTTAGGGTTTAATTACTTTATTAAATGCATTGACTACACATGCAACATGTCACATGGTGGTAAAATTTTAGCCATTCATGGCAGCATCACTACTTTAGTCCAAACTGAAATATCTCAACAACTACCAGAGGGATTGCCAATAAATTTGGTACAGACATCAATGCCTCCCTCATGATCACTTTTAATAACTTTGGTGATCCCCTGACTTTTAATTTAGTGCCATCATCAGGGTAAAATCTGAACTTGTCCAATACTTTGGTTTATGCCCACATACAATGACATTCCCATCAGCCTCAGCTGCATCTTGTGTATATTGCTAATTAGCTGTGTTGACAGCATGCGAACACAGTAAACATTATACCTGTTTTACATCAGTGTGTTAGCATTGTCATTGTGCTGAGGTTATTCTTTAAAATGTGACATCTGTGCTATGGTTTGGGTGATCGATAGGAGTTTTGAGAAGAGAAGGATTTCGGGAAATGTGTAGTGCAAAGATGTGTTCAAACATCCAACTGCCCATTGTTCCAATAGTTGGTCATTTCGAAGACCCAGTAGTCTGAAAAATGTACCACTGGGCCAGAAACCTATTCATCCAACAGTTTGGAAAGCAGATGTGCATTGCTCAAAGGGTCTATTTGCCCAATGGAACTCTCCAGTGGGTTTGGTTACTGTTCACATTTGAACCGATACTGGGTAGGGTAAGGGTTTGAGTACCTGGAATTTCGCACCAGTAATTAGGTAACAGTACCCAACAGTACCTTTTTTCAGTACTTTACTTTCTCTGTATTAAACAAAAGTTTCATTCTTGAACCATCTGCAGGGGTGACACAGTAGATTGTAAAGCAGTCCTGCTCCTGTGCTCTTTCTCTCATCACACATGAAGCTAACCTTATGTCTCTGTCAGTCTGCCTGCGTGTGTGTCTGCCCGTCTAGCAGCAATGCTAGGCTTTTACTAAAATAATGTAAAAAATAAAAAACAGAATTGACCAGACATCAAAACTATCATGGCAGATCGCTGGTACAGCGATAGTTTTGGCTTGCTTGAAAGTAAACAGAGCAGCAGAGCTCTGGGGGCCGGTTACAGGGTGCTTTGTCTCCGGTCCAAAGTTGAATCCAGTGGCTCCATGGAGCTCCATTGCCAGTCTCAGAGAAACGTAACTGGCTTCCTGGCTTTAGGGCATTTTTGCAGCTCTTCCACGTCTAAGCTTAACTCAGTGTTCTCACCCAGATGTGCTCTGAGGTACCAGAATTTGGCACTGGTGGATTTAACCCAATAGTACCAACTTCGGTACCAAACCCTACTCTCCAGGCCAAAGCACACGGCTAATAATTATGCATAAGGATGTCAACAGACTCTCGGATTGGCTAGTACTTGTTGCCTTCGTTGATTGGATTGGTTAGGTTTAGACATGAGGAGTAAGATTGGTTAGGGGTAGGGTAAGAATATCTGGGTAAGCCAATCAGAGGCAAAGTAGAGGGGTCATGCATTCAACATAGTAGGAGTGTCCAATGATGACATTCTGCATAATTATTAGCTATGTGCTCTAGTTTTGGAGAATGTCATAGAAAAATATCATTTCTGAGCAGTGCATGTTTGTTTTTGAGATAATGTGCTGTGGGCCAAATGTCGTGTCGGTCCAGTGGGACATTTTTCGAAGTATTGGGCCTTTCAAATTATCAGCCATCAAAATAGTGGCATGGCACTGTTCAAAAAAGTGCAACGATCATGCATTATTGGAGGTTTCAACAAAAAAAATTCACACTCTGGAGCTCATGACCTTTGACCACAAGATTGCTCTTGTGGGTTTGAAGGATGACATGGCGAGCAGCCAATATGCCAACAGTTTTTCTTTTAAGCAACTGCAAAAAAGAGAGAATAGCAAAGCACCTAAGGGTGCCAAAATAATTTAGGAATGAGGGCAGCAATTTGTAGTTTTCACTACAGGAAGTTCCTCAGTACATTGTTACACCTGGTTGTTTTTGCCTCTGTGAAGATCCTGATTTTGTAATCATGTATTAAAAATGAATGCCTCCACCCCTCTTCTGCTCTCTCCTCAGATCCGGACTTTGCAGACATGGGAGTCCCCCCACCTCTGCCCTGTAGGTATACTCCCTCTCTCTATCTTTCTGCCTCTGTTTCTTCCTTTATCTCTTTCTGTCTTTGTCTCACTTATTTTCATGCCCACTCTTTTTATCTCAGTAAAGCTTATTTATACTCTGCTTCCTCCAGTCATATACATTATGTAAAGTATGCATGTTTGTGTACCTGTCTGGTATTCGTGAGTCCAAGTGTTTGCTTGAACCGCATGCCTGTATATACGTGTGTTTGTGTGTGTTTATGCATATGTGTGTGTTTCAGCCTGTCAGTATGACATGGTTGGTCCAGAAGGTATCGTTGAGTCCCATCAGATCACCAGAGACGGGAAGGCTGGCGCCGCCGAGGCCGTCGACTGTAAATGGTACATCCATGCTCCGCCGCGCTCCAAGGTTAGTGACGCTAAGCTACGCTCCCATCCAACTGTGAATTAGATTTACTGCCAAATTTTGAAATGTCATACAGAATAAAGTGGAAATGAAACTGTGTTCCCATCAGCTGGGTTGATGACAGCAGAGCGCAGTTACGTCAGACAGCAAATCAAGAAAAATAGATGCCGGAAGATTGTTTGTCTTCATTCCTTGCAAAATTTAAAGCTTCAGTTTCAAGACTGTGTTGAGATATTGAGTATATTTTCCTATTAATTTGCTGTTTCCATTCAGCGTTCCTTCACACACGCAGTAAGATCAGGGGGTTTCATCAGGAAGCTTTGATATTGCATGTGGGTTTGTCTGCAGCTGTCAGCCGTATCCCAATGTGAGTGTTCGTGGCTGCGGGGGACTTGTTCCTCTGCTAGGGTCAGACAGATAGGCAGAAGGGTTTACTTGGGGTCAGGCCCATTTTTTTAATCAGCAAGCTGTTGCCAAGAGGAATAGAGGGATGGAAGAAGAAAGAGGGAGGGAGATGAGTGAGGGCAGACCGGACAGACAGAGAGGGAGGCAGCGTTACTGCTGATGAAATAGTGTTGCCATGCAGTTTGACCGTGAGGCCTGCTACAGCCTCTATTTGTTTTCTCTGCCAGTCGCCACCCTGCATGCATAGACAAATACTGACAAACATCCACACACATCCACACCTTTAACATCCACTAACACACTCTAGACATGCTTCCTTATCTACCAGAGGTACCAGTGCTGCATTAATGCTACAGGATTAAAACTTTCCCGAGGGCAGTGCAGCAGTGCAGCAAAAGGCCAAACTTTATAAACGCTATAACTTCTCCTGTGAGTCTATATGGTCAGATCATATACGCAAGCACAGTCTAGTCCATGACTGCAGTAAATCTGCTCCTGAAATAGTGTTGGCCCTCTTCTGGGTGAATTTGCAGGGTTTGATTTAATGGAATAAAGCCACATTTTTACATTGACTTTTATGGTTAGAACAATTCAGTCAAGGACAGAGGGTATTATGAAGCCTGCATTTTGAGGATTTAAAGGGTTTGGTCACATTTATTACACTATAAATTGTGATGTAAAATAGATCTGCAATTTATGTTATAATGGCTTAAAAGTGCTTAACATTTTTTTCTGACATTTTAGCATATGTCGGCACAAAATATCAAAATGTATAGAAAAACCTCCTTGAACCATAAAAAAAGGTTATTGCAAGAAATAAAATCAATATAGATGAATCAGTGATTTAGGTCCAATCCCAATACACCCCTTGCCCATACCAGTAATCCTTTATCCCTTCGTTTTGCAAGTTCACATCGAGAGGTAGGGTGTGTTGATCCTTGTTGGGACAGAGGGGTAATCTTAAGTGCTATGTCGTAGGCGACTGGACTTGCTCGCATTTCTTGAAGACATTTCGCCTCTCATCCATGAAGCTTCTTTAGTTTTAAAAAACTGGTGCAGGGCTGGGGTCGCAGGCTTTTACCACTGTGTGGGTGTGACCCCTTTCAGAGTCATTGAGGTCACATGTGAGTTGTTGACCCACCTGGCCATCATATGTGTCGTTCGGGTTAGATGGGTCCAGGTGAGAATGGGTGTTAAGTCGTCTGGGAAGTGCCATGCACTTGGGGAGCGGTTGTTTTGTTGCATTGTTTTTTGCGCATGGCACAGCACAGGAGAACCAGCTCATCAGGCAAAGACTCAGCTGTCCATTTACATCTAAAGGAGAAGGGACATTCTTTCAAGGACAGCCGTGTTCGCATCTTGGCCAGAGAAGACAGATGGTTTGAAAGAGGCGTAAAAGAAAGCCATCTACGTCAAACTGGAACGACCATCGTTAAACAGAGGAGGTGGCCTACGACACCATTTATCACCCACTTACAATGCAGTCTTGGGATCCCTTCCAAGGAAACTTAGCACCCATTCTCACCTGGACCCATCTAACCCTAACGACACACAAGATGGCCGGATGGGTCAACGACTCACATGTGACCTTGACGACTCTGAAACTCAGAGCTACCATGTGACCTCAACGAATCTGTAAGGGTTCACACCCACACAGACTTTCAAGCCTGCGACTCCAAACCAGTCCTTTAGAACTGAAGAAGCTTATTGGATGAGAGGTGAAACGTCTTCAAGAAACACAAACACTGACATGGTAGCGGGGTAGGGCCAAGTGAAGGGCCACATGGCTCTTTAAACAAAGGTTTTTCAGAGACTCCAAACCAAGTGTCATGAGAAAGCATCAACGAGATGTCCGCATGGTTAACAACAGACCCTAGCAAATGTATTTTTTTGGTTATCATTCATTCATTCATTTTCCGTAACCACTTATCCTGTTGGGGGTCGTGGGGAGGCTGGAGCCTATCCAAGGTGAAATTGGGCGAGAGGCAGGGTACACCCTGGACAGGTCACTAGACTATCACAGGGCTGACACATAGAGACAGACAACCATTCGCACTTACATTTACACCTACGGACAATTTAGAGTCACCAATTAACCTGCATGTCTTTGGACTGTGGGAGGAAGCTGGAGTACCCGGAGAAAAACCATGCTGACAAGGGGAGAACATGCAAAGTCCGCACAGAGGGGCCCCCCCACCCCAAGTTTGCACCTGGAACCCTCTTGCTGTGAGGCAACAATGCTAACCACTGCACCACCATGATGCCAATGGTTAATAAATCTTTTAAAAAGTGATTACCATCATAATATCTTAGTTTAATGTGGTTTCAATGTATTATGGTTTCGATATCTCAGTAGCTAGCTAGCCTACATTACATTGTTAATGATGATTTGTGCATGACCTTCCCATATTTTGGCATGTTTCCATCTTGTACCCACCCGCCTCCCCACCCCCCACGCCCCCCATTTATGACATACAACACCCCAAATTTAACTTAAGTTTATCAGTCAAGTTGCTGCACTCATTATTGCACCTCTAATATCAATGCAGATGGGCAGGGTAGAGGCACGTGTTTCTAATGTTAGTCTACAGGGCTCATCAGTGGCCTGGTAATGAAGCAGTGTCCTTTTTTATTTTAGACTTGTATGACTCATCGATAGAGTGAAACTTAAGGTGTGAACAATTCACAACCGCAAAAAGGCTGCCTGTAGCCAACGCAAGAGAAATCACCACAGCAGAAGATGGCATATTCGCAAGGTCTAGCAGCATCTGTTTCCGTAAATGCCAGCATACCGATGATTTGCCAGGGTCTTGAAGGGTTGCCCCTTTTCATAGGGGAAGATTTCAACCACTAGACTGCCCCTTGCTCCTCTTTCTGAGAGCCAAAGTAGCACTTGAAAACGAGGGGTAGGGGTACGAATATGAAATGGGACTGTGCCTTTGTATATAGGATTTTATTAGTGGAGTTCAGTTCTCAGAGTGTGTGCATTCTCCCAGGGGTGAGATAAGCCAGCTGCAATGTCAGCTCAACCGTGTCACTATTTGTTTCACTAATTCAGCACTTGTTAATGTTACAAGATGTTATCCTAGGCCACCGTAGAGAGATCTTTTTAAAGTCATACAGTCCACATTAGGGAAGCTATTAAACTTTGTTCCACCCCTGATGGAAACTTATGATTTGGGTAATGGTACTTTTTCATGCAGGTTCTTCATACTGTGCCGCAGGCTCTTGTACTGTACACACACACACACACACACACACACACACACACACAGACTTGTGATATGCCCCGCTGATAATATTGGCGTGACTGTGATTCATGGCCACGGCAGTTGCTTAGCTCTTATCTGACATATTCTTCGGGTCGCACATTTCCAGCTAACGCCCTTGATTCTCTTCTGATGTGTCCTTCGGATTCAGCTACTTTCAGCCACAAGGCCACAAGAACTCTAAGACTGCGTCATCCACATTCTCTCCATCATCAGCACTCATGTGGAGCCATACAATAAATGCAACTTTGGTATTAGGAGGGACCCTGGCCTCGGTTAAATGTTACGGTCGATGCAAAAAGCAGCACTGATTCCTCAGTCCCTCTAAGTGGAGTGCGTAAGTCAGCCTCGCGGCTACGGCATAAAAGAGAACCATAAGTCAATTTTGCGTGTGTGGCATGCATGCACCCCTGTATGTGTGTGTGTGTGTGTGTGTGAAGCTAAAGCTGGGCATGATCATGAAAGAGCGACAGAGCGATTGAGCCTGGCAGTATGATGTATTTTCCTTGGTCTGAATCAGTGTCATATTTCGCCCTGCAGTGGTGTCTCACAAGGCAAGTCATGGGCCAAAAGCTGACAGTCATTGACACTGATGGACAAGGCAGCAAATAAATTTTTTAGCACAAATCTATCTTCAGCCCCACACACAGTCCCGATGCTCCCACCTCCACCACCACTGTTCACACTCAGTTATACACTGCCTGGCCAAAAAAAAAGTCGCCACCTGGATTTAACTAAGCAAATAGGTACGAGCCTCCTATTGGATAATTACTGCATGGGTGATTATCTTTCAGCTGGCAACAAGTTATTTAACCCCAACTGGTGCAATGAGTTGCTTCTCATTTCCTAAACAACCATGTCGAAAGACACATCCCGTGGTCGTGGAAAAGATGTTAGTCTGTTTGAGAAGGGTCAAATCATTGGCATGCATCAAGCAGAGAAAACATCTAAGGAGATTGCAGAAACTACTAAAATTGGGTTAAGAACTGTCCAATGCATTATTAAAAACTGGAAGGATAGTGGGGACCCATCGTCTTCGAGGAAGAAATGTGGCTGGAAAAAAATCCTCAATGATCGTGATCGGCGATCACTTAAACGTTTGGTGAGATCAAATTGAAGAAAAACAACAGTAGAACTCAGGGCTATGTTTAATAGTGAAAGTAAGAGCATTTCCACACGCACAATGCGAAGGGAACTCAAGGGATTGGGACTGAACAGCTGTGTAGCCTTAAGAAAACCACTAATCAGTGAGGCTAACCGGAAAAAAAGGCTTCAATTTGCTAGGGAGCATAAAGATTGGACTCTGGAGCAATGGAAGAAGGTCATGTG